TGGGTTTCACGATCGTCAGAAAGCGTGAAACCCAGGGTCACAAACTCACATCTATCCAACTAAATATGTTAGCTCTATCTCTGATATTGAGCGCTTTCTAATAAGTACCGCACATATAATATATAAATAATTATATATATATAAATATATATATATATTATTTATTTATTTATATACACACACACATATATATATATATATATATATATATATATCTGAGGGTATGAAACTTTAAGTCGTAGTATATAGAGGCATAAATTTATAGGATAATTTTATATACGTAAGCTCTCTTATTGATATTGAGCACTTCTCCTTTTACTGTTGGCAAGCGTTTGTACGCTTTATTATATATATATATATATTATATATATATATATATATATATATATATATATTATATTATATATATATATATATATATATATATATATATATATATATATATATATTATATATATATATATAAAATAATAGGAAAGAACAGATTTATAATCCAGAGTTCTTTAGCATTTTTTAAGAAAACAGTGCTCGATACACAGTAGAGCATAATATAATTATTTAAAAAAAAAAAATTGTCTCCATCCTGACACAGAAATTACTGTTTCAAAACCGAAACTTAAATCTTAAAATTAAACTTAAAATCAGAAGCTTGGTTCCATTTTCAAACGATGATAAGAATAATTTTTACTTAGCCCAGTGGATAAAAGCTGAAGTAATCCAGTGACCCAAATCGTTGAGAGTTCAATACCTGTCCACAGCAGAGGTGAACAAAAATTTGGAGAGTTGAGTTACTAAATGGAATTAACTGAAACTGAGTTATCCAGAAAAGGCATGGCATGTGGAAATAGAACAATCTACCCCGGTGGACGAAATAAAGGGTTCGATTCGAAATTCAAACGTATATCACCTAAAGAAGGCCGGAGCGCACAAAGGCCGAAACGTGAATATGACAATCAAGATGAGGACAAATGTCCAAACAACGTAAATAGATTTTTCTTAGTTATACATTCCAATTGCTTTGTTTTGGGATGATTTAGTTTTACTTTGTCTCATTAACACTCACAATTTTTTTTTTCATTAATATTTAGCAACTGGAAAATAAACATTTCATGATTGGTTAAACAGCTTTCGGAATTCCTCTATCAAGTGACTACGAGGAGCTTCTCGTTTTAGTCATATTTGTGTCAATCACAAACACATGACCTTAAACTAGTATTAATATAAAATTCTACAGGATTTAAAATGGGAAATCGATTTTATATTGTTATTAAGTAATACACTGATCCCCCGAATTGTTACATATTGATATAATAGTTGGAAAAAATGAATCCTCCCTTGAATACCTAATTTTCCTTAAGTGTCACTCTTTTTTCTGATTGTCAAGTAACTAAAAAGAATTCCTGGTTTTCTTAAGCATTTCACCCCAAGCATGGCGGTAGGGCCATTATTACGCAAGGGATTACAGAGAGTGAAAGTAAAAGTAAAGACTGGATATATATTTGAGGAAATGATAAAAAGAAGAACGGGGATCAAGACATCAGAAGATGTCGATTGATATTACATTTAAATTTTTGACGACTATACTTATCAGTGAAACAAGTTAGAGGAAGAGAGTTCCGCTGTCAGGAAGGGCGAGAGAAGAAACTTTTGGAATAGAAGAGGCGGTTACATTTAACTGTTTCAGCAGTAAAAGGGGTGGGACCGATATGCCAAACCAGTAGCACGCTTAAATCCATGCAGTCGGGGCACCAGTGAAAATACCTTGTCAGAGCAGTTGCCATAAAAATATTTATAGAAAAGACAGAAGGAAGCCATATTACGCCTGTGAGAAAGTGACTAGAGTTGAGATGCCAAGTCAGGACCGATCATATTGCATATCCGTCTTTGGATTTTATTGAGAACCTCAAGATGAACAGCGAGGGTTTGTATGAATTACTAACACGTAACCGAAAAGAATGTCTAATAATTGTGACACGACTGGAATATAAGAAAACAGTTGAAGAGAAGTCAGGTTAATCATGAATTGTTTTAAAAGATCATACTGAAAATAAAAATGAAACGTATTTTTGCATAAACCTACTATTTTCCCATTTTTATTTATACTATAAAAACCAAGATTGATAGAATGATTTTTTACAGCTTGTTAACCCTTTGTGGGCCGTTTAAAGCCGAAACATTTTTCGCATTGCAGTAGGTTGATTACAGTACCTGATATTACGAAGCGGGCCGCCCATCTAAATACTGAACAGGATTGATGCTGTTTAATTTCGGTGAACGAACAGGAACTGGTGTTTTCAGCATTACAAAAACCAGAAAGAAAACGGTGGACAATATATAACTGGAAAAGTAAGAACTAAATGATATATCTAAAATATTTTAAATGAGGTGTTTGAAAGCGCCACTGTACTAATGCTGTGAATATATATATATATATATATATATATATATATATATATATTCAGCATTTTCTTGTAACTTGATTGACATCATCAATAAATCACTCAATCCCGTGACCTGAATATTTACCTCCACGTATCTGGGTTGAAATTCGAAGCGGAACTAGCAGCATACACAGCTATGGAGCCCAGTCTATTCCATTGTGTAAGGTGATGTTACACCCACTCTTTGACAAGATCTTTTTTTTTTAATCATGCTAGCTGTCTAGTCACCCTTCTCACCAGAGGAAAACCTGGTGACGGAAATGGTTTAGTCATTTAATGATTCGATCATGAGACAAGTAGCATTGGTATCAGATTGCTACCAGTAAGAATGACCTGACATAATTGGTTCTAAGAAATCATTTTATGATAATTATAACCAGCTGCGATTCAGTACTGGACTGGCGTAGGAAGATACCTCGAATATAGTTTATCATCTTGTACTTTTTTTTCCGTTTTTTGGGGGTTGGAAAGTAAATAAGTTTCATTTTTTTTTTATATCAGTAATTGTCCTTAATTCTGCATTTAACCTATGCAAATCTCACGACTACGCACTTATTTTAAAGAAAGAAAACATCCTGAAATTTATAGCTCATTAGATCATCTGGAGGTCATACCAAATTATTCCCTTTCCCAGTATCTCTCAGTGCAATGGGGGATTACTGTTACCATTAAGGCATCACATAAAACAGATAGAATATACACGGTTTATCTTCAAAGAATTTAAAAAAAAAAAAGATATAAGACGCCTGCATACTATATGCTAAAACTTAAATTTTAGTAAAAATCTGCTTTTAAACTAAGAAAAATATTTATTCTCAGCTGACACACACACACACACATATATATATATATATATATATATATATATATATATATATATATATATATATATATATATATATATATATTCCAATGTTTGTTATACTCATATAAATAAATGTATTTCGCAATTCCTCTCCAAATCACACAGCGTTTTATACCCCAGTGGTTAAATTTTGGTTTACTGGTACTTGGCTAACATTTGTTTGACACACTAGTTCTCTGATGAGCCCAGAATGAAATTTATATAATTATAAATTATTAAGTTATGATTATAAATCAAAATGTTGCTAAAAATTCAATTATACACAATTCGTCACTATATGTTCCTTGCAAATTATCACGATTTTTTCGAACGAAGATTTTAGATGGCTTTTCACGATTTTTACAAGTCCGCCCACATCAGTAACAGAAAAGTGAATTTCTTTCATACAAAAATTCATCAAATACAAGGCTCAAGATCCTCTCAAAGTAGAAGATTACTGTTAATATGGTAATGACGTGTATGTGTGATAGGAATGAAAGAGAAGGCACAAGGAAATAAAAATTATGAGGATGTGAAAAGGTAATTATTGTAGCTTTCAGGGAAGCATCCACAAAATGACAGTTCTTGGGGGTTAAAATGAATGGAACTATCTTCTTACATTTGGAATACAGAGGAAATGAAAGTGATTCGACTCTATGGAACTAACATGGCGTGTCCGAGCTGTAAAGGTGTGAACTGGTGAAACTAAAGAATGGAGCACTCATCTGAATATTGACCATGGGAATAGTAACAGAGTAGCGATATGCTTGCAACATTGTGTCTGTGAGAAAGCGGTTGCAGAGCGGAGAATAAATCTTCCCCAAGACCACGTAAACAATTTTGAATTGGAAAATGAGAATTTAGCTGTTGGCAGGAAATACAAAAATTATTTTAAGACGGTTTTGAAATGTTATAGGTAACTCCGCCTCTTTTAAAGCTTCAGCTTTGAAAGTTCAAAGATGATCGTCAAAGATATCGAGCAATAAGGATCAAACCTATTGGTTTACCCAGATTAGCTTGTAGCGGACCATGGGCTTACCTGTTGTTAAATTAGGAACACGTGTGTAACCCCTGATAGAATATTAAAAGGTTCACTACAAGAATATGGCGGACCCAAGTTGAGTCCAACCGAAGATGTAAAGAAAACAAACAAGACATATATATATATATATATATATAAAAACAAGTATATATTAAACAACAAAATGGACGAAGACGAAGACATCAACGTTTGTATTTGTGCGTGAACGTAAAGGATTTTTATTTTGATGAATGTTCGTCCTACGTGTGTGGGTGTTTCATGGCGTTTTCCCACAAGTGAGCAAAACGCAGATCTCAGCGAGAGATCACATTTTTTAATGTGTCCGCTGAAATGAAAAGTAAAAAGAGAACGAGGCAAGAAATCGCCCAGTATTTATCATGTAGGGAGAGCGTGCTCTAGTGAACAGTTAGGAAATTAAGGAGGAGCTAACTCCGACAAGCTTTCTTATAATTAAAAAAAAAAATTGTCTCGATGTTCCTGTCTATTGCTAGTCTGCTGAATTTTATTCATTCAGATTTGTTTCAAAATTCTTGACTATCTTTCAGAAATTCTACTCATATGGATACCCTTTAATCTTTGCTGCTTGGAAGAAACGCTCAACTCTTATGTCGAATGTCTTGCGCAGAAGGACATTGATCAAGAGTCGCTAACACCGTCAAACTTTACTTCTGAAATGATTGAAAATCTTTGCAAGTAAGTAAACACTAAATATATTTGATGGACGATTGTGTAAGTGTATTTCTTTCAGATGCTAGGCTACATTTTCTTTGAGGAAGGAACTGCCATTTGTGGAAAAGTAGGTATGTCACCAACGTATATTCTAATTTCAAAATTCGATATTACTTGAGTTCTAAACATTCTGGTCAATAACTGTTAACTTCAGACAAGCAATATTTAAAAAAGAAAAAAATGGTAAAAATGCAAAATAACACCATCCGCTGTGCACGCAGACAAAATACAAGTTTAAAATAGGTACATTTCATTGATTATTTTGTGGCAGCAAACACACCTTGAATTTTCCTTATTAAATGTTATATTTCTCAATTATGAAAACAATTAATGCAGAAAAAAATCAGAATTGCCCAGAAGAATAGATAATTTAAAGAAAATTATTTATTCTTCTGGGCAATTATGATTATTTTTATATATTAAAAAAAAAACATTTAGTAATTAAATAAATAAAAATAAATCTTTTATAAAAGAATTATCAATTAAATTTCTTTTCACACCCAAAAGTCTACAGAATTTTTTATTGAAAAAGAAATTAAAAATATTCAAAAGAAAAGCAATATCCTCGTTGTATTTTCTGATTCAGGACATAATTTAAAATCAAATTTTTAATCGATTTGATTTCTCTCGGGATTTATCACTAAACATGATTTATCATTAAAAATGTAAGATATCAACTTTTCAAATTATTTACAGTATTTCCATTACTCGGACTAATGCCCTCATCTTTGATGTCCATTATCATCTAAAAAAAACTTCTTACAATCTAAAAATATTTTCTGGTTTTAAATAACATGCAAAGGGTTGATAACCCGTAGAAAACAAATCAATAGATCAATCAAATTTGGTATGCTTGTCAGAGTTTTAACATGAAAAATATCGTTAAAGGTAAAATGGGGACATTTACCTGTCTTCTATGATATATATTAATAGCAACAAATACTTTTGTAGCCGTTCGTGTAATTTATATCTTATTATTTATTCTATTCATATCGAGATAAGGAAAATATGTTTATGATTCGAAAAAGCAATCTCATAGAGCAATTTCCCCCCTAAAATATCTTATCTATTTTTTTTTACTGAGAAAATTAATGAGAAAAAGTGAAGTCTATTTTGTTTCTCTTTCTACGCTATTGTTTTACGTAATTGCAAAATGCACAAAGACTATCATGTGAAGAATAACAACAAATATTTTTTATTGACACTAAATATTGCAAAACACTTCTTATCTGTCTATATTTCTGTGATAAGGTATTGTAACTATTTACACTATTTACATTATTGTCCTAATCTGTATTAGCATATTCACAATGTTTCGACTGTTGTACGCTCCGGACTTCTTCAGGTGATTGGAATTTCGAACCGAAACCTTTATTTCGGGGTAGATCATCCTAGTTCGACGTGCCATGTCCTTTCCGGATATTTTAGTTTCAGTTATTTCCCCTTAACTCAATTCTCCAACTTATTTGTTCACCAACGTTCAGGATAGGTATTAAACTCACCACTCTTTGGGTCAAATTCAACTGGGTTACCAACGCTTGTATCCACAGGACATTGTATCCTTGAGGACTCGTGAATATGACAAGAAAGACGAGGACAATAGTCCGAAAAATATAAATATTGTAAATAATTACAATACCTCATCTCGAAAATATAGAGAAATGTTCAAAGATTTCAAGAATTAAACTCCTGTTAAAACGAGGTTTAAATTTCTTACAAAATCCCCCTTTTATTTTCATAAATAAGTTAGTAAGTAAATAAACGGATAAGTACCCATGAGTTATTGTTTTTGGAACTTTGACAGAAAAATTTACCAGTAAAAAATTTGTTCATCACCATATTTTATATGAACGCACAACCTTTAAAAATTCAAAATCAAATTCAGCGTTGCTTCTGCGCGTTCCAAAAACAATAACGCATTTTCAATAGCATTTTCGGATACAACAATACATATATTTTTGTTGTCCTCTTATTACTAAGAGAAAAAACAAGAACAACCTGAAGATGTCTGTAGGAACAGACGAAAGCTTGTAGTAAAAATAAGAACTAATACGGCAGAAATTTATATAAACAAGGGTCATTTCATTCATAACGGATTCGGACGTTTTTGTATATTATTTGAATTGTTTGCGATGATGGATGTCTCGCCATTTAAATCATTAACCTTTGCATTAGTTTTTGTGTGAATAATTCATGTATATATATATATATATATATATATATATATATATATATATCGCTCGCTCGACTCTTCCGTCGAATCCGACGTACGAGATCAAGCAGATCAGTTCCCAGGAAACCGACAGCCCGATAACTGCACAAGAGAATTGATTATAGTGATGAAGGTTTCGTGCAGGACCATTCACACTTTTTGAAGGGCCGAATACTGAGACATGGTGCACTACGTGCCACAATGTCCTCAAACGACCCTTCGCAGGTTTTGAATTCAGAGTTGTCCTTTTCCTAGACCAGTTGCCATCCAAGGCTATAGAACCCAGTCCGTCCTGCTATTTACCCATAGCTGGAGGGAGTAGAAGAGGATTTATACCTTTCCCAAGGGTATTAGCACGGTGGAGTAATGGATATCGGCTTGGATTGAGGAATCAGACAGCCGATTCGAATTTCAGTCGAATCCATTACATTCACTTACGTGCTAATATATATATATATATATATATAAAGAACAGCGTGACGAATTTTACACCTGAGGAAGGCCAAAGGACGCATCTGCTGAAATGTGATAAAAGCAGTATGAATATATCAATCTAGATAATGTGTGAAATAATTCTATTATTTTATATCTTCAGCAATTTCTACTCAATTATAGCGTTATAAAGGACACAGAGTAAGAAATACATGACACTGAATCTCTTGAAGATCAATCAATTTTTCTTTACATCATCCATTTTGGAGGCTTTCGTGATACTAAAATCTTGCTGGGTTAACACCCAGGCCGGATCAGGAGAGGCAACTAAATTCGATAGCATCAACCGATTCATTGACATTTCATGTTCAATATTTTTACCCTATCTTTTGCTTAAGATTGTGACTTCGAAGGACTGTCAACATCGATTTTTAATAATTTTTTCCCTTTTCTTTTTCATACTTAAAAAAAAAAATCTTAGAAATGTCACTAAATTTGCCTCACAATCACAATAGCAAGTGACCCGGGGAATACAAGAGAATATTGAAATATTCTTGGTCCGTTCAAGAAACCTTTCTAAAAAAAAAAATCTGATGTTAGGTCATTCTTTGGGAAGTGGATAGAGCCGAAAACTTTTCAGCACATCTTCATATGCTCTGCTTTAAAAGTGACACAAGACCATCACTTACCAAGAGTCTTCATTGAACTGCATTAAATCCGTCAACATTTTATTTCGCATCCGAATACAAAGAGAAATCTTTCATAAAAATATAAAAGTTCAGACCTTTATTTTTTTTTTAAGTAATTAGAAACATACAAGCTAGCCACTCTTTTCTTCTGATGTTATACCACCCGATATCGTTTCACAGTACAATATCATGCTTGTAAAATCAGCAGTAAAATGTGGTATAAAATTCTCTTTGCTAGGAAGAAGAATGATGCATTTCGTTGTATGAGTAACGCAGCTGGAGAATGCGCCCAATATTACCAACAGATGTTGATCATGGGAATGGACATTACATCTATCCGAATCGCCTATACAGGACTTTGCGATGACAAGCAAGGTAAGTACCTGTCAAGATTAATCTTCCTTTTATTTCTTTTTCCACGGCTAGCTTCACTTTAGATTTAGTTTGGTTAGTACTTCCTTGATTACCCGTACATCAATTATCTGGTCATGAGATGAAGAATGAAACTGAAATCATCCAAACATTTTTTTAATTATCCAAACTAAATCCATTCTATTTCATCTCAGACAAGCAATTTGGGAATTTAGAAAAACTTGACTCAATGTTTGATAAAATCAATTTAATTAATTCTTGTTCATTTCTTTGTTGTTTTCATTTTTGTTGTGACTATTTCCATTTATTCCATTAACACAGAGTAAATGAATTTCCTTGCCTGACCCAAGGATTTAACTCCCAAGTCCCAGGTAAACTGCATATACATAAACGATACTTAGTAGGGGAAAGGAAAGAAAATACAGAAAACCAATAAGAAATATATTTATTATTTATATAAAAGCATTGATGATGAGAAATCTGTCTCTGATGTAATTGATTTCATAATGATCCAATTTGGGTTTATAAAAGACTTTACATTTAGTTCAACAAAAGAAAATGTCTGAGATTTGAGAACACAACATGGCTGAAAGAAATTACCACAATTATTTAGATGTGAAAAGAAAGGAAAAATTGAAATCCGAATATTTTTCAATTATCCGAACTAAATACATTCTGATATTTCATCTTAGACAAGCATTTTGAGAATTTAGAAAATCAAATGAATATTTGATAAAAATGTTGATAAATTAGGTTAAGTTGACCAAATGTGACCTCCTTCAGGTCATATTTGTTAATTCTGAATCAAACACTGTTTAATCCACGTGGTAGATCGTTTGCATTTTGCTGTCCATAATAGAATATATTTAATTAATCATCACTAATTCATCCTTGACTGTTTCTGCTTATTCTACTAACCCAGAGTAAATTAATTTACTACCCTACCCCAAGGAAACTGAACAGACATGACCAATACTTAGTAGGACAAAGGAAGGAAAATACAGAAAACCAATAATGAATATATTTATTATTGATAGTTATAAAAGCATTAAGACGAGAAATCTGTCTTTATTGTAGTTGCTTTCATAATGATTCAATTTGAGTTTATAAGACTTCATGTTTAGGCCACCAAAAAAATAAGAGATCTGAGAACGAAACATGGTTGAAAGGAGTTATTGGATATTGCTTATAAGTGCCTAATACATGTGAGGAAATAAGTAACAACAGTACTTGTCGATTTTCGGTACTGCAATTATTTGGATGTGAAAAGAAGGGGAAATTTGAAACCATCTGGACATTTTTCAATTATGCCAACTAAGGTTGTGGTTTTAACTGGAACTGGTCCTGCAAAAGAACTGTTTCAATCTAGGTACCGTATTCCATGGCATATAACCTCATTTAGATTTCATATTACAGCATTATGTAGTTAGACTAGGTACAAATCCTGAAGGTAATCATTAACTTGCAAGAAACTTCAACTTTGCATATAAGATTCAGGAAATACTTTTGAGTCATTTTGGAGGGAAAAAAGAAAGGTCTTATAAGTCCTCATGTGATATAAAAATGGCTGGCCACTCATATCCAAGTATGCCTGTCTACTAGGAATGCTAGGCGATCCTTGTTGCAGATGCCTGCTCAGGCATATTTGTGTTTGTTCAACATCCACAGAGCTCACCTGTGGTTTATGCAACTGAGCAGACAATGTGAGAGCGCATTATCTGTCGTGATCAACAGTCTCAACAAGACGAGCACCTTCAAACCCTCGGTCACGATGACTTGTGACATCGTGCTAGCAAACCCTTGACAGCTCCCAAATAGTTCCGTTTGTCCAATTTCACTCACAAGTCTTGGGTCAACCCAATGGTATGATTTTCAGTCACCTTCCAAAGATGTCGCACGCTTGGATCGCCTCCTCAGACCGATAACATCAAGGAGTTACCTAACCAGTGTTTCATAGCCGAAAAGCGAACGATATAACTACTCGAATATATTGGTCATTACGTTTTATGTAAGGAGACTTTGTAGATTATCTATCCCACTCAGTTTATAACTACAGTGTAACCCGAATATAAGAGTTGTCGGGACCAGAGAAGAAGTCTCTTATATCCGGGTTTGGTCTATTTTATATACATTTACACAGGCTCTAATTTGGGACCAGAGAAAATCTCATTTTCGGGTCTCTTATATCCGGGTTACACTGTATCTCGGTCTATTCATTATCCCTCTATATATCTCAGTCTGTTCATTATCTCTAAATCCATCTCAGTCTATTCATTATCCCAGTCGGTTCATTGTCTATCTGTTGTATTTAGTGTTTTCGAGATAACAGAGAGAAATAAATAAGAAAGACAAACTCGTATGTAAGTAATGAAATAGGTTTACTACACGAAGCAATTGACCTAATGCTAACTCCGCTTATTTACATACACGGACGATTCCATTCATTTATGTCTTACATGGCACTATCTCAGTCTGTTCATTATCTATATCTATTTCTCTACATCACATAACATATGAAGATAATAAATGAATTCAAGCTGTCTTTTCTCTATTCAATGTCTGTAACAGAATTCATAGCTGGTCTGCCATGTTTCTACACTCACTACGCCGATGTGGCCAATGTATACGATGGGATTGTCAACCGAAGCGTGGCCCTTAGAGACAAACTATGCACGTATGAAATGTCTCTTGATGAATATTTCCAACAATACTGTCCGTAAGTGTCATTAAACTCTTTATAAATTCATGTGCAATATTTACTCTTACACAACGACGAGAAAGAAATGTAAATTTTTCTCAATCCTAAAGTATGACGATATAATTTCTTCTTGTATTGTAGACCTAACTAACACTAATTTGTTCATGCAGCGAACTGATACATATTAGAAGATACAGAAAAGGAAACTGAAATGAGATTTTACTGGTGAATTGACTTCATTGTACATTGCGTCAGTGGTGTTGCTTCAGCCATAGAAAGCGAGAGAAAATAGAAGTCTAGAATATACTTAATGCCGTTTCGAGGAATAAGCACCTACTGGCAAATCGACTTAGTTTTCGCGCCTCTAGCCAGACTGAAAATTATAGCTGAGGGCAGATAATTAAGTTTGTAACGTTACAACTATGATCGTGGCGTTCTTATCCCAGATTTATGTAATCATACATAAATATTTGTTACCGCTTAGAATATTAACAATAATCAATAGTAATAAATATTACTTTAGAACAATAAATTACAATAAAGGATATTATAATAAGGATGAATAATAACAGAGTGATTGACATCGTTTTAATTATGAGTAGAATTATTTTTCTGGCTCGGAACGATAGTTATTTACTCATACTGAACAGCTTCATTGTATGCGAGGATATTCTAATCAATAGTTGATTTGTACACAACTCTATTAATCAATATTCTACAGAAAAAGATAAAATAATCAGGTTAACAGGACACATTGCTTTGAAGCAGAGATTAACATATTAGTTTCGAAGGTGGTTACTTCGATAGTAAGATACTTACAGCTGCACCATACTTGTGTCAGATTTTACAGCTATTAATAATAATGTAAAGATTCATAAATAGCACTAATAGTGGCCTGCATAAATTTAAAGCAAAAAGAAAAGGTGTTTATCAGATTACATGTTGGGTGGTTTTGGTTGTATCTGAACGTCGAAACAAATAACCAAACATACAGTACGAGTAAAAAAATATGGACGCATCCATAAAAAGTTGATTTTTGTATTGTAGAGGTTTGGTGATGACCGGAGGCATAGCCTTGATTCTATGCCACTAAGACTCAAGTAAGGGGCGCCTATAGGGCCTAGTACTGGGAAATGTAAGTAAGGAAGACATTTTAAATAAAATGAAACATAAAATAAACACTTTATTCAAATTAAATATAAACTCAATTTGATTGAATGACCCTCCCGATGTGGATGCCCGGGACCGTCGCACCCTCTGCCCGCTACTGTTTACAAGCCGTATACTAAAAACATATTCTCGACATTATATTATCGGCCCAGTTGATATGCCTTTAAAACCTAATCATCCATTAATCAAAATAACAGCTTAATTTTCATTCTTCCGACTTATATCTAACCGTTTTTATTTTTTATTATATAGAGTGCAAGGCAAAAAATGGACGCACCCATAGAAAGTCGATTTTTGTATTTTTACCAAGACAAGTGAGTAACAGAATTCGTTTATTAATACATGGCATTAATACAGGTGTACATATATACATTATACAAGTAAAAATGGTTTAGTATTTTGTTGGGTAACCTTTTGCTTTAATAACCGCCTTAATTCTTTGTGACATGCTGCAGACTAAATTCTTTAGTAAGTCAGCGTTCTTCGCCAGATTTCTCCAACATTCTTTTAATTTGCGAAAAAGCTCATCTTCTGTGTTAACTTTCCTATTCGAGCAGGCTTGTCCATTATCGCCCAAAGGTTTTCAATTGGGTTACGGTCAAGATTCTGGCTAGGCCCCTGGAAGAGTTGCAATTTACCCTCGTCGCACTTCTTTTCTAGATAATGTTTATTCTTTAAGGCAGTTAGAATCATTATCGTTACTAAATCATTTTTAACTTGTATAATGTACACCTGTATTAATACACTGTTAATAAACGAATTCTGCTACTCACTTGTCTTGGTAAAAATACAAAAATCGATTTTCTATGGGTGCGTCCATTTTTTGCCTTGCACTCTATATAATAAAAAATAAAGACGGTTAGAATGAAAATTAAGCTGTTATTTTGATTAATGGATGATTAGGTTTTAACAGCATATCAACTGGGCCGATAATATAATGTCGAGAACATATTTTTAGTATACGGCTTGTAAACAGTAGCGTGCAGAAGTAGGGCAGAGGGTGCGACGGTCCCGGGCATCCACATCGAGAGGGTCATTCAATCAAATTTAGTTTATATTTAATTTGAATAAAGTGTTTATATCATGTTTCATCTTATTTAGAATGTCTTCCTTACTCACATTTCTCATTACTAGGCCCTATAGGCGCCCCTTACTTGAGTCTTAGTGGCATACAATCAAGGTTATGCCTCCGGGCATCACCAAACCCCTGTACGTCACTGCTTGTAAACAATCTTTTGGGTTGTTGGCTCCAGGTATGCCTCTAGAACAGAGTTACTTAGTGCTATAACTTAGGTTATAGACCAACCTCCTCCAAGTACACTAAGATAGTCTGTACTTTTTATCTTCTTTAATTTCTTGAATATATTTTTATTTTCTAAAAAGAGAATGTGGCAACAAAGTATAAACAAATGTTACATGCCTGTAAAAGGCTGTATATATAAAAGTCCGGGGTATCTTTCTCTTTCTCTAGAGAAAACAATGTTCCTCTGTGGAAACATATTGGCAGTTAAATAGAGCATTGTTTAGCAAAATACGATGACCTGTTCATGGAATATCGCTTAAAATAAAGTCACTATTTCTAAACCTTTCAAACGATCTTCAGCAATTTCTTTCGTTTAAAGAACCTATCCCATACACCCCATGAATATTCTGGGAAGCTTATTGAAACGTTTTCTACGGTTTATCAACCCTTTGTAGGTTATCTAAAGCCGGAAAAAATTTGGGGATAAGAATTTTTTAAAGATAACAATGGTTTTGTGATACAAGTCTTACTAATTAACCAATATTTGAGGGAGAAGAGGTGGATTCATACCTTTCCCAAGGGTACTTGCGAGTAAGTGAATATAAGGAATCCAACTGGAATTGGAACTCGGTTCTCTGATTAACAATTCTGAGCCATTATCCATTACAAGACCTACACATCTAAGCTTACAGAACTTGGTATTCTCAAACGGTGACCCATCTAGACGTTGCTTAACTTCTTGATCATACGAGAAGCAGTGTTTCAATGTGATGTGGTCGTAAGCCTAACTTATACTACATTATTGCCGTTTCTAAACTCATAGAATAGTACATATCTTATGCTTTCGAGCCAAGTTAGTAACCAAGTTAATTGAATCGTACTGTGACAAAGTTATTCCTTTTAAAATGTACGAAAATGCAGTAGTCTTGTTATCATTGAGACATTTTTGAATAGTGAATATATTTAGTGTATCGTTAACATAGTTCACACACTTACTCATGATATGACGTGATACATAATATCCATAATTTGCTGTCAGTAAGGTTTTCATTAATTCTAGGCTAGTGACAACCTCTTTCTTTAGCACAACACTTGATAAATCATATATTAGCTTAAAATTCGCAAAGTTCGGTATTTTCTATCCCTAGCGTAAGAAATATTTAGTTTGTTACTGTAGATGATTAATGTAAAGCGAGAGGAGTGTTTGGCGGCAGTGAGCAATAAAAACGAAAGCAAAATATTTTCCATGCGTACAGACCAGGTTCAAATGTATTCAGGAGAATGAATGAAATATTTGACGTACTTGTCCAATCGTGATACCGTGGATTGCATACATAATGATTTGATTCAGTTTGTCTGTTTAACGGCATATCAACATCTTTGGGTCATTTCATGCCGATATTTAATTTTCTTGGGAGCTTTGAAGTAATAAAAATGTTATTCTGCTTTCACATTAAAATACATGAGAGATGATGCTTTTGTGCATATACACGTTTATGTAGACATAATTACTAAAGGCGGTAATGTGTGTTTTATGTTGTAGTTTTGTTGAAGTTATATTTTTAAATACACTTTGATTTAAAAACTGTCGCATATTATATGGATTAATATCATGAAAGAGTTCTTTCATCTTGATTGTTTGGTAGTATTTTAAACAGATTTGGGTGAAGTCGCTACAATTTGTTAATACGTGCGTATTATTGGTAACTTTACTATAAATAGGTGTTGTTGGTAATTTTTTTATATAAAAATGTATTACTGGTATTTTTACTATAAAAATGTATTTTAATACTTTCATAGTGTTTTGTTTGGTTTACTATTCATAGCTGGAATCCTAGCAGGTGTTACCCCCACCCCCAGTCAGGGTGGACCTGGGAACAACAGCAATTAAGAGGTGGTTCCACCTCCTTAAAACCTCCAATCTCCCGATCAGAGGCCTTGCTGCCGGATGTAGTTTATCGTCCCACCCAGGACTACATACATAATGAGCAAATAATATTAATTAAACGGTAATAACACGAAAAATATAAAAGTATGCCCGATCATTACTATTGAAGACTTAGCGAAAACCATAGAACGCAAAAATCATTTGAACAAAGCGAGTACTAATATTCTATTAGTACCGTGGAGCATTGTCACAGTATTAGTAACGTATGGTTTAAAAACATTTATAATATTATAGTTCTTAATTTCTTGTTATATCTTGATGTGAGAATTTTTTCTGGTTATTATAGGACAAAAATGAAAAACAAAAGTTTTATTGTGAAAAATTAAATTAAAATATTAAAAATGAATATGTAAGTCTCAAACGTTCAAACAGGCAAGTATAAGTTTAATTTTATTTTCAGTTAACAAATAAAAAGTACTTGTTTAAACTGCTAGGAAAACTCGATCTATTTGGAAAAGATGTTAGAATAATCCAGAACTTATACTGCAAACAAACAACTTGCATATAGATAGACAATAAACTGGGTAGCTATACAAATATAGAAGTGGGCGTGTGACAAGGCTGTGTCTTCTCCCTGGATTTATTCACCCTTTACAGTGACGCTATCCTAAGAGAACTGTGGACCCTAGCAGTTATTATCAGTGGGCTTAATCTTAA